CTCTTTTCTAAATAATGACCAGTCTCCATTCATCACATGAAGCTGAATAATGCTATAAAGCCCCTTGTTTTCCCTCTCTTTTCCAAATAATAACCAGTCCCTGTTCATCACAGGAAGCTAACAAACTCTCGTCACAGTTAAAGCAGACGTCAAGCACTGGAGCGGAATGACCTAGAAGTTTGTTCACGCATGGCTTGCTGTCCTTTCCAATGTCAAAGAAATACACACACATATCCTCACTTCCAGATACTGCAAAAAAAATCATTTGGATAAAATATACTGTTCCTACATGTAATTTTAAAGAACATTTTTGATTAGCGATTTTTTGACACAGAGTATAAAGAAGTTGGTTACTTACTGACACAAGCCCCCTGTCTGAAGGACATGAGGGGACAGAATGTACTCCTGATGTGCGATCTTTTCTGTTTTACTGGGAAAGTCTTCTTAAGTTGTAGTCCACCATCATCTGTGATAATCCTGAAAAATCAAAATTATATAATTAATCAAATTATGAATAAAATATATTTTAAACTTAAATTATGACATCACAGGATTTTTAAAAGCAGTAATCATATTTAAAATGCATGCTGATTTTTTGTCTTTGAACATCTGATCATGCTATAATCTTAAATTAAGAATATCTTGACAAATAATCAGTAGGTTAGATACGCTGCATATGACCTTAACAGTCAAAGAGGAGATTCTGCAAAATTTTGATTGCACTAATTTATGTATGTTTGCAGAAATCAACTCAGTGGAATACAGATGTCTATCATTTATATTCACCTGGCCATTGCATTGATACAGGTGTTGACTAGATGAGTGGGGTCGGGTCCCTGATAACTCACCTGAACAGACACATTGTGTTGATACAGGAGTTGACTAGATCCTCAACTCACCTGAACAGACACATGGAATTGATGCAGGAGTTGACTAAATCCTCAACTCACCTTAACAGACACATTGCATTGACACAGGAGTTGACTAAATTCACAACTCACCTGAACACACACATTGTGTTGATACAGGAGTTGACTAAATCCTCAACTCACCTTAACAGACACATTGCATTGATACAGGAGTTGACTAGCTCCTCAACTCACCTTAACAGACACATTGCATTGATACAGGAGTTGACTAAATCCTTAACTCACCTGAACAAACAATTTGTGTTGATACAGAAGTTGACTAAATCTTCAGCTCACCTTAACAGACACATTGCACTGATAAAGGAATTGACTAAATCCTTAACTCACCTGGACAGACACATTGCATTGATACAGGAGTTGACTAAAAGGGAGGGATTCCTGATAAAATCCTGAACTCACCCTAACAGACACATTGCATTGATACAGGAGTTGACTAAATCCTTAATTCACCTGAAGGGAGGGATTCCTGATAAAATCCCTAACTCACCTTAACAGACAAATTGCATTGATCCAGGAATTGACTAAATCCTTAACTCACCTGAACAGACACATTGCATTGATACAGGAGTGGAATAAATCCTCAACTCACCTGAACAGACACATGGCATTGATACAGGAGTTGACTAATAGTGAGGGGTCTCTTGCCTCCCTGCTGATCCAGGCCCGGGCAGAGATGCTGGTGATGGGGTGACCTTCTGATACTGTGATCCTTAAATAGAAACAGGTATTGTCAACAAATTCAAGCAAAACAGTCATAAGATATTTTGAAAAAATTCTGAAAAGAAGCAACATTTTTCTAGGATTGCAAAATTTTTTTAAGTCAAAAAGCTCATGGATGTCTGGAGAATGAAAACTTTGTCATTAAGACATTTGAGTACAAACATATTTGAGCTTAAATTCAAATCTGCATTGGTCAGTTGGTCAGATTTGTTAGCAAAGGATTAAATTTTAAAATTTTTTTAGTCATCCAGATGTCTTTGTTTTAAAAAAGTGATAATAGAAGGAAAAACTATACAAGGATAAAGTTAACCAATATACTTGTATTTCTCTGCCTATTGAAAAAAAATCTTTTTATAACCTCCTCGTCTTTGTTAATTTTCCAGTAGCTATGTCTATTGTGAATGAAAATATTGATCCCTTGTCATCCCCCGCCCATAAAATCCTTCCTGTGGGGTCAAAAGTAATAGCTGTGACACTGCCAGTTATTTTGCTGCTGCCACCCTTAAAGTAAATAATTCAATTACAACATACATCTATAATGTATACTGTTAATATTTGAAATGCTGATGCTTAAAAATATCAAATTAATTATTATGTTGGTACAAAACTAATGCCTGAGGCTGCAAACGAAAATATATTACTGAATCTGTATCTCATCAACATACATGTACAACTGTGCACAATAACCAAATCAAGCATACAGGTGAAATTAGAGAAATTCAATTCTGTTAAAACAAATTATCCACTCAATGAAAACAAATATAATTTCTATAAATAGAAATTAATCAGGGGGTAAACTTGAATGTTCCTCAGAAGATATGACTTTGAAAGAAAAATCATCAGCTAAATATCACTACACAGAAAGTCTGATTTGTGACATTATGTATATTCATGCATTCAATTTCACACTTTGATATTACGGTAAAAGAGAATGAAAGTCTAACTTGTTTTATGATTAGGATACCCTACCTTCACTCCTTTCCCAGTTGAGACATTGATCACTTGGACCATGTGTTTACTGTTGCCAGTCTGGTACATGTGTTAAGATCAATAACAAAACAAAATCAGTTTGAGAAACACTGATGCCCCTATACAGCAGTTCATGGATAAAGGTGAAAAAAAATCTCCAAAATACATGTACTGTACAGTAAGCACTGCAATTTGGTTAAAATCTGCATAGATTTAAAATTCTTATCTCAATTGGCCAATCAATCTTTTTTCATCTTCATTTAAAATAAAATATATTTGTTACATGTATATGAAAATAATGAATGTGAAGTTTTTCCATTTTCTTAATACCAGTTATCTTTACATAGACACTGCATAAAAAAGTGTTGTGTCATTATTTTGGGTATTGTAACTTGTTCATGTTGTAAAATAACATAACAAGAGGCCCAGGGGCCACAGCGCTCACCTGAGCACATCGGGCAAGAATTTATCCCCCCCCCTCCAGGCGTTCATCATTTGAACAAATTAGAATCTACACTACCTGAGGATGATTCCATATAAATATCACTAATCATAGCTTTGAAGTACTTGAAAAGAAGATTTTAAAAGGTTTCCCTATATATGCCTATGTAAAACTTGGGTCGGCCATTTTGGCCCCACCCTAGCCCCGGGGGTCATGATTTGAACAAACTTGAATCTACACTACCTGAGGATGATTCCACATGAATTTCATCTTTCCAGGCAAAGGGGTTCTGGAGAAGAAGATTTTTAAAGATTTTTCTTATATATTCCTATGAAAAACTTGGGTCGGCCATTTTGGCCCCACCCTTGCCCCGGGGGTCATGATTTGAACAAACTTGAATCTACACTACCTGAGGATGATTCCACATGAGTTTCATCTTTCCTGGCCCAGTGGTTTGGAGAAGAAGATTTTTAAAGATTTTTCCTACATATATTTCATTTTATGCCCCGGGGGTCATGATTTGAACAAAATTGAATCTACACTACCTGAGGATGATTCCACATGAGTTTTTTCCAGGCCCAGTGGTTTGGAGAAGAAGATTTTTAAAGATTTTTCCTATATATTCCTATGTAAAATGCCATTTTGGCCCCACGGGGGTCATGATTTGAACAAACTTGAATCTACACTACCTGAGGATGCTTCCACCTGAGTTTCATCTTTCCTGGCCCAGCGGTTCTGGAGAAGAAGATTTTTTAAAAATGCCATTAATTTTTAACAAATTCATGATTATCTCCCCTTGGAAAAGGGTGTGGCCCTTCGTTTGAACAAACTTGAATCCCCTTCACCCAAGGATACTCTGTGCCAAGTTTGGTTGAAATTGGCCCAGTTGTTCTTGAGAAGAAGATGAAAATGTGAAAAGTTTACGACAACGACAACAACGACGACAACGACGACGACGACGACGACAGACAAATTTTGATCAGAAAAGCTCACTTGAGCCTTCGGCTTAGGTGAGCTAAAAAGTGACCATACTTAAAGTTCAACTGCAGATGTTTTCAAAACTTTCACATTTTAATTGTAGAATTTAAAATCCAAAAGGATACAACAAACATATTGTTATTGAGAGGTTGGAAAGCACAACACAGGAGTTCTCCCCCTTGTTCATCTTCAATGGTTCTGATGCAACTTCCTGCTGCCACATCCCAGATCTTAGCAGTGCCATCTAGTGACACACTTAAAATAATGTCATTGGATAAGGACCACACAAAGTCTACAAGAAAATTGATACACAGTGTAATTAAGAGCCAGCCAATTATGGAAAAAGACATCAATTTATGTTACATGTACATTATTTCAATCAAATGTAAACTCAAAAAAATAGAAACAATTTAACAAGTCAAATGGATGCAGATATTAATTTATACTGCATGTACATTTTTTCAATCAAATTACAGAAAGTAGAAATAATTTATCATGCAGACTGACCTCTGACCCCAGCCTTATGCCCCCGCAGCATACAGATGACCGTGGCTGGAGGGGGGATGACCTGACATATAGAGAGGGTTCCATCCAGAGAGGAGCAGGCCACACGAGATCTGTCATCATTGGCAAACTTCACACTGCTCACTATAAAATTAAAATCAATCAAATTATTACTTTGTAACAAAGGCGACACATGCAGTCTGGGTTCCATTATTCATTATTAACCTGATTTTTTTTAGATGTTCTGGCAAAGATTAAAGTGGTTGTAAAACAAGACATACAGACAAATACAAAAAGTGATATCCACCACGCAAGATACATGGAAACTTGGAAGTTGGCACCAAGATAAACTTTTTAGGATAAATTCTCATAACAAGCTACTACTCTGTTTCACTGGATTTAGAGTTCAAAAATGTATAAAAAGACAAAGAAGTTGTGCCCTAAAATGCACTGTAATCAGTGATTGGGAAAGGCTTGCGCCACACACCATAGTCACAGTGAAGTGAAACATAGGTAATCAGAGATTACAGAGCTCACCTCAACGAATGTTGCCTTTAAGTAAGGCAAAGTCACACAATTACCCAACAAAAAGTGTACATCCAAAAATGCAACATTTATGAAATTTTGATCTGATACTTTGAAATAGACCTATATAAAAACTTCAATCTAGCCATTCATCACAAAAATGTGATCAAATATCTGAAGCAAAAAAGTTATCATCCCTTGAAATATTGGGCAAGTTTGGTTTATTTAAGCCTTATAGTTTCTTGGTGATAGACCTGCACCCATAACTTTTTACCTGGTCCATTATCTGGAAAATGTATGTCAAATTCAGCATCCGGAGCAAGTCCATTAGTATGCATCCTAAGATATATCATCCATGTGAGTTTGCACAATATAGGGCTAATAGTTAATTAGAAATGAAACCTGCTTAAAAATTTAATCTCCTTTCATCCAGAAAAAACAGTTCAGATTCAGCATCTGAAGCCAGCCTGGTAGAATGCAACCTTAGATGTATCATCCATGCAAGTTTGGTCATTAAAGAGCTCATAGTTACTTGGAAATGAATCCTGCATCAAAAACTTTAACCTGTTCACTCATCCAGAAAATGTAGGTCAGATTCAGCATCCGAAGCAAGTCTAAAATGCAGAAAAGATGTATCATTGCAAGTTTAGCCATTATAGGCTCATTGTAACTTGGAAATGAATCCTGCCCCAAAAACTTTAACCTGTTCACTCATCCAGAAAATGTTTGTCAGATTCAGCATGCAATTTTGATGCATCCTAAGATGTACCATCCATGCAAGTTTGGTCAACATAGGGCTTATAGTTACTTGGAAATGAGACCTGCACCAGAAACATTAATACTCAACCAGAAAATGTAGGTCAGATTCAGCATCGAAGCAATTCTTAGTGTACATCCATAGATGTATCATCCATGCAAGTTTGGTCAACATAGGGCTTATAGTTACTTGGAAATGAGACCTGCACCAAAAACATTAACCTGTTCAAAAAAAATGTAGGTCAGATTCAGCCTATCCAAAGCAAGTCTGCTAATGTGCATCCTTAGATGTACCATCCATGCAAGTTTGGTCAACATAGGGCTTATAGTTTTGGAAAAAACCTGCACCAAAAACATTAACATGTTAAACTGGAAAATGTTTGTCAGATTCAGCATAAGCAAGCCTGGTTATGTGCATCCTTAGATGTACCATCCATGCAAGTTTTGTCAACATAGGGCATATGTTTTGAATATACCTACACCAAAAACTGCACCAAAAATGTTAACCTGCTCCAAAAACATTAACCTGGTCATTCCTTTGTTGAAATTGCAGCATCTGAAACTTTGACTGGTACAGTGAAACACATTAGAAGCATCTTTCATGCATGTCTAATCAATATAGGACATAGAAGTACTTAAAAAGAAAACTGCTCCAAAAAACTTAACCTGGGACGCCGACACCGAGCTGGATCCCCCAACTTCGTTGAGGTGAGCTAAAAATGGTACATTAAATCAATCAATGTTGGGGCCAAGATGCGCATTCAATTTTTAGTGACATTATTTGGAAACATTTGCACAAATTTCTTACTTGTTTAACTTTCATTTTAAATGAAGTCAGTTTTAAAACAACAAATGTCATTGGTGGAGGCCCGTCAAAAACTGCTTCCAGTTAAACGAAGCACTTAGATTAGGTATATTACTACATTCATTTGTAGGGTAGGGTGGTGCTCTATCCAAATTTTGATGTAATTTAACACAAATTATATTATATGCCGGTTTCTTTAATTTTGCTGCATTGCATGTGTTGAAAATTAGATTCAGTTATAGTAATTAAAAATGCATTTTCATTCGTATTTCATATTTGTTTGTCATTTTGTTATTTCTTGAGATGGCCGCTCAGATTATATTCATGGCCCATTCATTTTCAAAATGGCCCATCAAAAATGTTGACAGTTGTGCCATAGTCCCATTGACCATTGGCCCTCCCAATCACTGTGTTATTATGATATATACATGTACATGTACCTGCAGCTGTGTGTTGGTCAAAGATGTGATGCATTCCAGCAAAAGCATAATTTTCTGAAATAGTCTTTCCTCCAGCCATTGCCCTATATTAATATTTAAAAAAAAGACAATTTTGCATAAAACACCAAATTTTGTATCAATAGTCAAAAACAGTTAAATTAATAAGTTCTTAAGATATGTATACTTCTGCTGTATTCAATACCTTGCTGGAATTTTGCACAGAAATTAACATGCATATATACCTGCTGGCATCTGCTTCTTTTGTTGGAACAAGTTCAATGCTGTCAAAAACTCTTTTCATTGGTCCATCAAAAGACAGCTTCATAGATCCACTACTAAGGTGTCTTCTGTGGTGCTTTTTCCCATCAGAGATTGCCAAATTGTCAAAACTCTAAAAATAGAAAAGATTGTTGTTATTTATTTTAAATTTTTTTTTGGCCTTTCAGCTTCTTTCAGTTCAGGCATTAGATTTTATGCACTTTTGATGAAGGGAGTATTATTTTGTACGTTGCTGTATATTTTCATGTTTCTGCAAATTAATACTAAATAAATCAGCAATGTCAACTTTATACCTCTAATGTGTTCCGGCCGACACTTCTCATACTAAATGATCTGCTTCTAATACTCCTGAAAAAAAATTAGATATCTATTAGCCTTATGCACAGGCACTTAGGCTATGGACCTCCCCCTCCCCTTTTTTTCGTTTTTTTTTTAATCTTGCATAGAGTCACATTTTTAAAAAGAATTTTGTATTCAAATATGCACTTTCTATTGTCAATAATGTAACCCTTTTGTCCCTTTAAGCTGTTTTGAATATACAGGTTTCGAATGACACATAGAAATATTATTTATGGTGCAAAATTACCCTTGATCTGAGAATGCAGGGCTTCCATATTTGGAAGTTAGAAGTTGAGCTCGGATAGGAAGAAACTCCTTCCTCACAGCTGGATCCCTCTGTCACAAAAATATAAATAAATAAAATTTATACAATGGATGTAAATGCACTGCAATAAACCCTTCATTGTGGGAAATACACTTGAGACTCCATAATATATGCTGCAGTATTTTGTTTTTTTTTTTTCAGTTAGGACTCTACTTAGTATAATTATGTCTTCTCAATCCTCAATTTTGATTGAATATGCTCATGAAAGGCTTTTTTTAACATTTAAAAGAAATCTGATCTTTCATTTATTTACTTTTTTTTGCATATTCAATATTTAATTTAAGTTGCAAATTGGAAATATAATATTTTGTAACGAAATTTGCTTCAGACGTCTTATAAATGGTCCGACATGTCTTAAATTTTGAGCCGACTTTTCTGTGTCGAGATGTCCTTGAGTCGAGGTTTAAATGGTCCAAGGTGTCTTTGATATAAGTGTCTGACATTCATATAAAGCTAAAGAAAAACAACTTGACAGTAATTTTGTTTAACTCTCTAGAATTATAATTCTGATGTGGAAAAGAGTCTCTGTAAGTATGTCATATTATTAAAAACATTTTTTCAGTACATTGCGAAGTGATAATTCCTAGTAATATTATATACAAGATCAGTTGTACATAGATGATAGACTGGAGACTTGTCAAAGTAAACAGGTAAAAGAGTATTAAATCTATTATAGCAATTCTTCACGTTTCCACTATTACTCAAGCTTTATTAATCATCATAATGCTGTAAGTAATGTTTCTTACTAAACTGGGGATTGTTTGGCGTTCTGTAAGCATTGAATTTGGCGTCTAAAGCAAGTGCTTGTTGCCACACAGCTGTCATGTTTACATTTTTTTCACTTCCGGATGTAAGTCGACGATAATTCGTTCCTTTGCTCATTCGAAATAGTCCGGTCATCAAGCTGAAAAGAAACGCATTTTAAGAAAAACAGCTTATTATACACATTCTTTTAAAAAAGAATACATAAAATTTTGACAAGATTTGTCATTCAAGACAGGCACCCCCCCCCCCCCCTTAGAGGTGCTTGATCATGTTGGTTTTAGATTGGTGCATTTAATTTGTTGGGTTTTTTTTTCGTGAAAATTGAAATAAATCGCTGAAATATTATCTTTTTTTTAAGATATCATATTTCTGTACATATGTCTTTTTGATGTACAGTAATCATTTACGGCCGGTGATGTGATATTTTTTTAATGCTAATTTCGGCATTTTTTTAATAAAATTATTTGACGTTGAATAGTTCTACAAACATATAAGATATTAGACCGGTAGTTGAAGTAAAGATTTTTTCTTTTGCCAAACTCTTTTAAAATTACAAACCTTGGACAACTTTGTCCTCTTTTTATCAAAGATTACACTAAATCAGATACATAAATCACAAATCTCTGTTATTTGAGTCTCCGACTAAATGAATGGCATATAATGAATGCATTTTATAATGTAAAAAAGAAGCATGTTCCTTGAGATTAAAGATAACTTAATTTTGAAAAATACTTTGTTTACCATGACCTGTATTATGTTTGCATTATGTTAAATTAACATTTGTATCTGACTAAATTTTCATACCGTAACTAGATAAGGGATTGAGGGTATTTCCCCAAAAATTTAGCAGATAATCATATATAGATTATGTGTATAGTAAAAATTCTTCATCCTTATGCTTGTGTTAAATCCCCAACCTCAAATAATTTTTTGCTAGTCTATTTAAAGAATTTTTTGTCTCGTCGGTAGTGGGATAGTACCCCCAAAAAGGATAGGTTATGTCCCTCCCCTGAAAGGACATGATTTTTGTTATACATTGTACATTTTCTGATAATAATAATTATAATAATAATAAAAAACAATGAATGATTTTGTTTAAAAATATAGATTACAATTCTGGATGTGGAAAAGGGTCTATGGATAGGTAACAAAAATGGGAGAAAACAAACGAAACTCTTACGCAGAACGAGAAAATACTAGTATTCAAAAATTTAGGAAAAAAAGATAATTTTATCTTCTTTTTAAAAAAGGACTCTATCGTCCCTTTTAGGGAAAAAAAGAGAAGAACCTCATACTCATTCGGTATTCTTCTGTTTAAAGTATGATGTCGCTGTTTGAATTTCATACTTAATCAAAAAAAACCCCAAAAAAACAAAACAAAACAAACAAACAAACAAAACAAAATTCAACAGAACCAAAAATCCATTTTTACCACCTTTCCACCAACCTGGCGATGGTCCTGTTACGGAATAAACACAACTCTCAATGTATCTTTAAAAAACTTGTATATGCATAAATTCAAAGATTTCAGTTTTGAAACAGTTATATCATAATTAATGTTATTATATTTATTTTATTTTTATTTTAAATTATGGTCAGTGCTTGAGCTACTCTAAAATTTTGTTCAGCCAAGATAAGGTGTATTTTTAATCCGTAGATAAAGTTTGAAGTACTGATTTATATTTAAGTGTCTTTACTTAAATACTATAGTATTTGTAAAAATCAAAAATAGAAATCAATATAAGGTATAAAAATAGATCAAACACGTTACGGAAATGTATGGTCAACGCAGTTTGGTTTTAAACTTCATCTTTTGATACTAAAAATACATTTCTTAATTTTCTAAAATTAGAGTAATTAATTTTATATCAATAACAAAATATTTCAGCAAATAATATCAATGAGAAACTTAAAAATTGATAAATAATTATTACTTTAATCTTAAAGAATGAAGAAAACACTCGGATTGATAATTTTTAACATTATTTTTGCATGACATTAGGCGGCCCCTTACTTTACATCCGGGAGTTCTCGTTTATTTTCGGTTGTCTAAAAATAGGACAGCGAATTCGGGCTATTTATTCGACGACAGCCATATTTCAGAAGAGTAAAAGGGAGAGGTCCAAGAAGTTTGCCGGGCCAAAATACTTATCTGATAGATAGTTAATTTAACACTTGATTAATTATGCAGGCGATCAAATGTGTTGTTGTCGGGGACGGGTAAGTCATTTAGAAGTTTTTAATCGAGACAGGTGCCTGTGTGTCGAGAGGCGAAGCTAAGCGGACTTTGAAAGAAGTCCTGTTTTAGTACATTTACACTTTCTTTTACATTAAATAATGCCTGTTTGTTTTCGATAAGTTCAAACATATGTAAAGAAAGCTTCTATGAAATTAACTTTATACTGTAAAAATTTGTTTACTTATTCGCTTGTGTTTTGCATTGAGAGAGAAAATAACGGTATTTAAACTAGGAAGTTGAAGAGGTCAAGAGTAAAACTTGCATAAAATGTCAAACTTCCTGTGATTAAGCGTCATCTACACGAAGTGTTTGGATATATATTTACTGTGTTAAGTTAACCTAATCTTTATCCCTATAAGACAATGGTCAGTGATTCACATGTCCACAAGGGATTAAAGAATTACTGGTGCATGGCCTTTGGACATGTGCGTGAACTAATAAATGTGATTGGATGACTAACATGTTTTATGGCATCATAGTCAAAACATGTTGTTCTATCTATTTGTATTTATTCTTACTTTTTTTTTCTAATATGTTGCCACAATGCACATCATTCAAAGTTTTATGAAATTAATTTTAATAAATAGTCCCATTATCTGAAATGTTATAAAATATATAAAATGTCACAATGTATTGTAAAGCAGTATAAAATCAATATAGACCAACATGCAGAATTAAAAATAATTCACCATCCATAAGTTCCTTATTACTGATTTTCTGAATCTTTCCTATTTCAGAGCTGTGGGTAAAACATGTCTTCTCATCAGCTATACCACAAATGCTTTTCCCGGGGAATACATCCCAACAGTGTAAGTAGCAGCTACTGTAGCATTGGAGTCAGGCACATTAAAAAGTCTTAGACTAGTAGATGCACCAATGACCTATACATAGCTATATACACGGCCTGGACAGCAGCAAAAACTTGTGATATATTAATTTTTAAATTAATTTCACTTTTCTTAAATAGAGTAATTAATTTTTCCCATTTAAAATTATCATTTACTGAGAAAACAACCACACTCTCTTTTAATCTGACAAAGTCAGATGTCCATTGAAAATCTTAAAGTGTAACACATGACCATGGCATAATTAATGAAACACAACTAAGACACATTAAGTGTATACTCCCATACATGTTGTTATATTATTAATATTTTGAAGAAATAAAGAAAATCTTGAATATGATTTGTAATGCAGCTGTGTATGCAACAGGCAAAGATAACGGAGGAGAATCGAAAATATATTACAGTCTCACCTAATATAATCCAATGCCGTTAATCAATTAATAATGGAAATACCCAAACCTTTTCCTGATGAAAATCATTATTGTTACAAAACTACAGCATTTGAGCATTCACACATGTTATAATCTCATTAGATATCAACTTTTGTTGATATATATACTAGCTCATATGGCTAAAAATTGTTTTCACTAAGTAAAGAAATTACCAAGTTGCTTGAAGATAATTTTTTTTTTTAATATAAATTTAAATTATAAATGACAGGATCGGATATCATTTTTGAAAGCCAGTCTCCACAAAAAAGAATTGTAAACATGGGACATTTACTAATGGGGACACAATACAGAACAAAAATGGTTTTTTGAAAATATCCTGTGCATATCAACACCTTCAAATAATGCCTTATTAAGATTTAGCAATATGTAATTCTAGTATTGTTAAAAATAACCTCCCCTTGAAATGTGCTAATGGTATTAATTCATGTAATTGACAAATATGTGTAAATATCCATGTTTACAGTGTATGATGTTTAAGTTTATGAATTTTATTACTTTTTGGTTTAGAAACCATGTTAAATGTTTGTTTATGATTAATATTTGAATTTTCATTTAAAATATGAAAGGGAGGGATAAATCTTCAAATTTATGCTTGTGAACATCTTACTTTTTCTTGTGCATGTATATTCTGTGATATTGACTGTATCACTTGAATCTTTCACAAATTAACATATATATCTGTTAATCAAAGCATCTTTATGAAATACTACTTTCATCTTGATTGTCAAATTGAATCGACATTTATAAACATTCTTTTTGCTGCAAAAGCTGTTCAGCATTTGCAATCGGCATAATCATTGTGTGCACAGTTATTTGGGAAATTTCTGTCTTGTTGCCAAAGTAACATTTCTTGATCACAGAGGATCATTAAATTGAAACACACGTAACAATGCTTGGACAATGATTTTAAAATTGCTTAAGTGTTTGCCTTGCATATAAATGAGAGAGGGAAAGGGACAAAGCTGCAAAAAAAAAAAGCATTTCACAATAATGTATGAATGGAAGGTGAATGTCCAATCTGGAGAATATTACCATAAGAAGAAGACAAGAATACCCTGTAACCATTGTCCGTGAAGATGAGCAAAAGCACATGGTAAGTAACAGTGAATCTCTAGAAGTGAGAAATAGAGGATTTTACTAAATGTAGTGGTGTGGCTAAATTGGTGTGCGCTTTGAAAAGTGTAGCTAACCCTTTAGAGTCTGAATGCTTTTATTGTTAATTGATTCTTAACTAACTGGCATAGAAGTCCTCTCATGAAGGGGATTTAAAAACCATGGTACCTGGCTGCTTTAATTATATTCATTCATAACCTGCTTTGGCCCTCTTCACCACTGCACAATATAATTATGAAATGAGAGAAGATTCTTATCCTTGATAGATTTAACAGTTTACACAACAGTAAATTGAGCTCACAGAGAAAGCGATTTAGAGATAGGAGAAATAAAAAGTAGCATGGGACATGAGTGTTTCAGGAAGTCGGTGTTAAGTAGGGGGATCAGCTTTTATTCTAGCTCTGGTGTTTCTTGTGTTAGGTTTCTTCATAGTATCTGTACATGTTATCCTGTATGTCAACATAATCACTTTGACCCTGATCTGCAGCTTTTATAAGTCACATATGTGTCAAGTCCACTCTTATTTCTCAAAAATTGTAAATTTTTTTCAAGGTTAAGATAAAGACAAGGATAAAAATCATTAGGGAGCTATGCCTCTGTGTTTCTGTATGCATGCACTAAGCAAAATATACATTAGTAAGTGAATAAAAATTTGGTTCTGCTTCAAAAAACAAAGAAAATGTAGATATATTTTAAAGAACAAAGCTTGGTATGTACATGTATTATTTCCTGTTTGTCTAAGTTTAAGTTGACAAAATACATCCTTCTTATAAACTCAATCTTAAGAAGATACTTAACATCTAGTCTGAAACTTCACTGAGAGGAGAACCTAAAAAGCCAAATTTGCACACATACAGTCAAACCTCATTACTTCAAACCTTGAAGTGACTGAGATTAAATTTTGAGCTATCTAAGGATTCAAAATAAAAGGGATGTTTGGACTTCCATCGCACTTGGATATATCCCATTAGACGAATGGAATACAGAGGGAGGCTGTCATATAATCATTTACCTTTCTAAACACAGAAATAGTGGCAATTGTCATATATTATGCATTAGAAAAAAGATTTCTTTAAAAAATTTACATGTATTTAAAACTAGTTTTCAAATATATCAGTGGAAGTTCTGTATTCTTACAGATGTGATTTCTAATAAGAATACAGTTTAAATACTGTTAAGCTACCCAGATTTCAAGATATTGAAAAAAATTGAGATATAAACTCAAGATTAGAGATTTCTCTATAGTGGTGAAGAGGTAAAACTGTCCAAAAAAAAAAAATGCTAGTCATCAGCTGATGGGTCATGCTGTCTGCAAAGTTTGAGGTTTATTTTGTAGTCAGCACTTTTAATTATAGAGGACTAAAGACTAGCTGTCACTTGATACTGGACCCAGATCTAGTTTAACAGAAATCTTAGATGAAAAAAGTTTTCAATTACTGTACTGTGACCTTCATGTAAAATGCAATTGTATATATACAGTGTACAGTTTTAATGTAATGAATAGGGAAATGCCCTCATGATATTTTAAAGTGATAAGTAAGCAATTGCTTTATCATTAGCTGTTGCCTTAGCTGTAGTAAATTCAGGTTATCAAAGAGCAGGAAGTAAAACCAGTCACAGTAAATATGTTTGTTGTCATAAATATGTACCTTTGACCTGAAAAAAAAACTTATAGATTAGATCAGTTATGCATTTCTTAAAGGCCGCTGTCAAAAACAATGGGGCTCTATACATTGTTTTCTGCAAGTTAGACTAGAACGGATGGTTCTTGTTTGAATTTTGTACTCAAGTTACAATATTAGATAAGGAGAGTTTATATAATGAGAAAAATGTGTGCTTTGTTTCTCTTGCTTCTGTAGCATGAATTTATAGCCAATAAATATATTAACATTGAGTATATATGCAAAACTCTTTTCATAGCATGCAAATATATATGATGATCTTGCTAGACTTTTTTGAAATTTTTCAATCCCTATAATAAAGGGATTTCTGTCTTGTCTTGAACATTCTTTGCATATTTTCAAAGGGGTCCTGAATGTGTTAAAATAATGCACACATCTTATATTAAACGACATAAAATATTGTAGATTTGACAACTACTCAGCAAATGTGATGGTTGATGGGAAACCCATAAATCTAGGATTGTGGGATACCGCCGGACAGGAAGACTACGACAGGTTACGTCCCCTGAGTTACCCACAGACAGTGAGTAAATTAGCATCTGTATTCTTACCTAATTCTAGAGTTTCTATAACTTTTTTGAGTTCTTTTGGAATTTCAGGTTATGAGCAGTTAAAAACACTGTAGAAATTTTCAATGAAGACAAATATTAATGCAGTTTCAAAAAAATTAAATTAATTCACTCTTTAGGAATTTTGAAAATGTGAAGTTCACAGATTATAAAATAGATAAAGAACAGATTATATAATATTGACATTTTTGTTGTTGTTGAAATTTTCAGGATGTCTTTCTGATGTGTTTCTCTCTGATCAGTCCAGCTAGTTTTGAAAACATTAGAGCTAAGGTATGTATAGTGTAAACAACAATTTTAGAAAGTACATGTACTTGGGTTGCACAAAGAGGAATGGGGTACATGTATCTTAAAGAGTATAGTCTGATTTAACATGAAAAAAGATGGAATTGGATGAAAGGTAACACAGGGGAGAGATAAATTCATGAGGTCAGAATCTATTGAGAGTGTTGTGCATGTAAATTATTCCAAGTAAATATTTGCACAATGTATTGTTACTCTGGTTATCACTGTAATCTTTCATGATATATGCATGTCAACAGTGATATGACTAAATTTGGAAACTGGTGATAAATATTTGCACAGTAGCATTCATGCATAGGTTTTATGATGGAAATTAATTAATTAATGTTTAGAGAAACACCAAATTTAGATAAGATCCATAAATTTGATCCTTTTCTTTATTATCCCTCTCCTAATCCCCTGATGAAAGTGGTTGGAAAGATAAAGATTTTTGGCTGTAGTCACATAGAGTGTACTAGAATGTCTTTCCAAGCTTTAAAATTAACTAAAATAAGATCTCGGCAAATCTAAGATTGAAGGATACTTGAAGTGAAACTGAAAGGGCAGGTCTGCAATGATTTTGAAAAAATGATTTAAAGCCTTTGCAAGTATTTCCCCCTTGTGTTAGTAATTTGTGTATTTGTATATTTCCCCCTTGTGTTAGTAGTTTGTGTATAGACATGAATGAAATTCAAGTATGTCATTTTCATATTTTTTAAAAGTTTTCCTGTTCAAATAATTCAGCTTTTGAGTGTTTTTCTTCCTTTTCTTCTTTTTCCTTGGTTTTAATATGTGTATACCCATTATGCTTCAACTAGAATTTACAGTTATGAAAGTAAAGTGGGGCTGTATATTATACATACATGTAATACATGCCCTTGATCTGTTCTAGGCATATGATAAGCACTTTTAAAATTAATTCTATCTAGCATGACTAGCACTGATCACTGGCAGGAGGAAAAAGTTGCATTTGAATATTTGGAAGCATTTTATTTAGGGTGTTTATGGTACTAGGGGATGGATCATGGTTTTTATGTCAACACTCTTTTGACATTCTGTATTTATTAGCAATTAGAACCTAATTAGTATTAAACAGTCTGTTTGTAGAAGTGTAGGTGTTCAGTATTGGTACATATTGTAATGTACATCCTGGTTTATGCACTAATATACAGTGTACTCGTCTAAAAAAAGGAAGTACATTGATTAATTTGTCGAGATTTCTAGTGAATTGTTGCAGATACCGGTACATGTAAATGTCCAATAAGTAACTGATTGCTGAAAATAGATCAGAGGGTGTTTTCAGTTTGAAAGTCTGTGCATAGTACTTTTAAGGATGCTATTTAACATTGTTACTTGTTTAATAATGTGGGTTGAAAATTTATTTAATCCACATTGTATTACCGGTAAATAGAATGGTACATACTGTGTGCAAAATTTTAAAATGTTTTACAGCTGTCGTATTTTGCTATAAAAACAATACATATAGTTTAGATTTTTATTTTGAAATTGAAAGACAATTTTATAAGGAGGAGGGAGTTACCAAGGGTTTATGGGTCTCCTTTTTCATTTTCAACTACCTAATTAGTCCTCCCATCTAAAGATTTTCAATTAAACTTACTTGTTAATGTGAAAATATGCTTCCTTTACCTTTCTCCTTGGAGGGGGATGGGGGCTTCTCAATAATGGTAACTTTTCTCCTTAGTTTTTCCAAAATTTCTAGATCCACCACCAGTTGATCCTAATGCTGCAGGATAATTTGCTCAAATAGTTCTTTCTTTACACTTAGATTAACATACTGTATTATGTTACACAGTTCATCAATATTTAGGAAATATACGAGTCAGTCTTTAATATCATTTTTTTCATAAAAACTAATTGTGAATTTCAGTGGTACCCCGAAGTGAACCACCATTGTCCAAATGCCCCAACCATCCTGGTGGGAACCAAGCTTGATTTGAGGGATGACAAAGATACCATCGAGAAGCTGAAGGAGAAGAAATTGTCCCCCATCACTTACCCCCAGGGGCTGGCACTAGCCAAAGAGCTGGGATGCGTGAAATACCTAGAATGCTCCGCCCTCACCCAGAAGGGTTTAAAAATGGTGTTCGATGAAGCAATACGAGCTGTGCTCTGTCCAAAGCCCAAAACAAAAGCCAAGAAAGGATGCGTGTTACTATGAGAAGGATATAAGACTTAGATAAAAAATGTTCAAGAACATTCCATTTTGCCATGATTGATAGCATTATAATATTCAAGAGTTATTGTGATTGTTTCTCCAACGTATTTGTCTACATTTATCACCATCTAGTCTTGTTAATTTGGTTTTTTTTTTTTTAAGAATAAAATTTCATTTGAAAATTTTTGAAATGCCTAAGAAAGCAAATGAACAACAGTTTGGAGTAAAATTTAAGGTAGAGGATGATACCTGATAAGAATAATATACATGTTTCAAAACAATGGAAATGAACACAGAAAGACGATGTGTTTTAAATTGTGTTTTTTCTAAGTCTCAAATGCTTTTATCAAGTTAAACCTTAGACATAAAATGTATATATTGTAAATAATGTACCATATATTTTGTCTCAAATGTATAAATATCTTTGTATACATACAGTATATTAAACAAATTGAACTTTTTGTATATATGAATATTTTACAATTAATCATTTTCTATTTCTGAATCAAGTGACAGTTGGCGTGAAATTAGTGATTGATTAAAGTTTTTGTTATATTTGAACAGTAATGGACATGTTTTGTAATTTTGAAGATGAAGACAAGTGACTATAATTTGTAAATTATTCTTGAAAAAAATTTAATATATATCTACTCCAATGATTTATATCATATGTTGATGTGTCTCTTTATTCTTTTCTCTTTTTATTTTAAATCTTTATTAGACGTTTGTTTTTATTTGAAATGAAATAATGTCCTAAAACACCCCTACATCTTAGCTTAAATTTATGTACAGTGCTTCAATCTCATTAAAAATGTGCATCTTTGTATATATTGATTCATATTGACATTTAATAAATATTATTAAATTAAAAAGTTTGGATTTTTTATCCTCTTTTATACCCAAACAATATAGTACAATTGCAGAATGAGGTTCTCTTATTCATAGAGCCCAGAATGGTATTTAAATGTGCAGAAAATAAACTGGAATTTTTCATGAAATATTTGATAGAAAAAAAAATAAAACCATTAGTTGATACATATGTACTGATATTTGTACCTGTATTTGGGATTTAATATTGATGAAGGTAACAGTATAATTTTCTCCCAAACATGATGAATATTCTTGATATTTAGTTTTTGCTTTAATCATGTAAAAAATGTTTAAATTTTATTACAGATTTGACAACTACTCAGCTAATGTGATGGTTGATGGGAAACCCATAAATCTAGGATTGTGGGATACCGCCGGACAGGAAGACTACGACAGGTTACGTCCCCTGAGTTATCCACAGACAGTAAGTTTAACGGTCACAATCAGTAAACAGTCTGGTTTGAATGTAAGTTGATGTGTTACTTGTTGCTGAATTTGATCTAATTTTTCTTTCAGGATGTGTTTCTCATTTGTTTTTCCTTGATTAGTCCCGCTAGCTTTGAAAATGTTCGAGCCAAGGTAAAGCAAACTTACAGTACTTTTAAAGTGCATTGAAAATGCTCTGCATTGATCAAAACAAAGCGAAAGACAAAGACATTATTTTCATATTAAACGTTAAATTTTGAAACACATGTTGATTTATTTTTGACATTTATTTTATAATCGCTCATTTAAATAAGAATTCATGTTGTTAAAGCAAATATTCGTTTAAAAATATAAATGTAGAACGGTATTGCATTAGTGTTATAATCCAGATGAATTATTAAATATGTCGGCCAACAATGTTTATTTGGATTTTCAGTGGTACCCAGAAGTCAGCCATCATTGTCCCAACACACCCATCATTCTCGTGGGGACCAAGCTAGATTTACGAGAGGACAGAGAAACGGTGGAGAAGCTAAAAGAAAAGAGGCTGGCGCCCATCACCTACCCACAAGGCCTTGCTATGGCCAAGGAAATCAACGCTGTCAAATATCTCGAGTGCTCGGCACTGACACAGAAGGGTCTTAAAAACGTTTTTGACGAGGCCATCCGAGCAGTACTGTGCCCCAAAGCCAAGCCAAAGAAGAAGAAGTGTAAAGTATTATAACAGAACAAAGTTATGACAGACTTCTTTTTATCTTAGAGGACTTCAGTTGAGGGCTGCTACAGGATTTCTTCGATTTTTTCTCTAGCTATTCAGACATAGTGATTCTATCATTCAATGAGAATAAGAATGCATAATGTAGCACGCTGTACATTAGAATAGGGGGTTGGTCTTTTCTTTGTAACTCTTTGTTTCTTTTCTTAAACCTGAGAACTGGGTCTTTATTAAGTTACTATTGCTAATCCATTTATTGTTTCACTCTATATAGTGTTTTTTTTTTAATGTGTATGCATTAACTAAATCATGGCATTGAATATTTCTTACTGAAACCCTGGCATTGAAGATTAAAACACCCCACCTTAATAGATAACACGTACTTGCACACAATGCATTATTTTGATTATTAGGAAGATGATTGAACACCCTCAGTAAGATAATTAGTCAGACATCTTCAGTTATTGCCTTCTGCCAAAACAAGAAGAAGAATCTATAGGTTTATACGTTTTGTGTTTTTGTAAAAGATGTAGCATTTGATGCATGATGAGTTGTTTCAGTGTCATTTTCATTTAGTCTTGTACTCTGTAAATTTAGATACTGGAAAAGTAAGGGGTGGGTTAGCTTTTCATTTATGATCAATTTCAGATCAAAAAATTGTAAACAAGTTGTTTCCAACAATTTTGTACAGAACATAATGTGGCCTTGTTAAAAAGTTTGCTATTTTTATTTTTGTTACTCTTAGTAATTTAAACAACCAGAAACAAAAGTAATGAATATTCAAACTCTATAGATTTTAGAATTCAGTTGAAAATTAAGCACACTGATTTCCTTATTATTGAAATAAGAACTCTGTTTGTACACAACGGACACACACTGTAAGAAAATGCCTTACTGATCCTCGTGTATTGCAGCTATGCACATTCAGTATAGAAGAGTTGATTGTATGTGTACATATATATGTGTGTATATATTAAATATGTATGTATTTTCTAATTTGTACTAGGTCTTTTTTATATTGAAATAAGTTGTTATAGATTATTAAAAATATATAAATCTTAATATAAATTTTATTCAAATATTTTTTTTTTTTTCTTTTTATATTTGTATATGAATTGGTATTTGTTAATGAGAGTGCTTTATTGTGTATTGGTTTCCATAAACGATTCAGTTTGTATCCAATGTGGTAGAACAAATAATTATTGGTGAACAACATTTTCATGTAGCTTTAAGGAGTCACTAATATTGTCAGTCTCAACTGATCTTGTATATTATTTTCAACTGCAGTCTTGCAGATTCCATTCAAGTCAACTGACTTGCATCACCAGGTTGAGCAAGTAGAATATTATTTCAACTGAGTTGATTTATATATCAGTGGAAATATTTTTAATTTTTGTTACTGTAGTTGTAATTAAAGCTTCATTGATTGATTTTGTTTTCTGGGCATTGCATACAAAAAGGATTTTTTCTCTGTGTATAAAGAATGATATTGTATATAAAAAAAGGCTTCCAATCCAGTCGAGGTTAGGCATATTTCGTTATTCACTGTTTTATTAGATTTTTTTCCAAGCACAATTTCAATAAATTAAATCCTAGTAAAATATTTGAAATTTACCTTGAAGTTAAGAAATAGTATTTTGAATACAGATTGATTTGGGTGTGATTTTAGTGAACAAAGAAAACTGTGGCAAATCTCCAGAAATCACATTTTCTTTGCTGTTTAATGTAAACCTATACTAAATGTTTTATTATACATCAGATCCCATAATAAATAGGTAACATTTGAATAATCTTTGTCTAATGTTTGTACCATTCCAGATATACGGTTGTTTAAAAAATTGGAGAGCATTAGTACCACTCTCTACCATCGGCTCCTACATTCACCTCTGTCGTTGGCTCGCGTATACACAGTGTTAAACACGAGAAATAGTGCGTTTGTTTTAATTCATTACAATTCCATTTCTATGCTTATGTCTGAGTTTTCAGATAGAAATTTACTAAATCAATCCAGAACTATTAATTTAAATTGAAACAATTCTTCAAATATCACGTTTTATACGTTATGTCAAAAATCTTGACGTGAGCCCATTGCAGAGGTGTCTGAGAGAGGAACGAACGACAACTCTGCATGGGAGATTGCATTAGTACATGTAATATTAAAACAATGCAGCTATCATAGAATCTTTATCTATTTACTTTGATAATCATCTAATTATTGCCTTTTCTTGATCATCTCCCCTTGAAATGGGGTGTTGTCCATCATTTGAAAAAAAAAGAACCTCTTTACTGACATATGTTTTGTGTTGAGTTTGGCTAAAAGAGTTATGAGAAAGAAAGTCAGATACTTTTAACACAGAAGCTCATGTTGAGGTTAAATCATAATCCTTGGGAGCTAGATTGGAGCAGTACAATGGTTTAAAAAAAATTCTTAGGAATAAGAAGAGAAACAATCTTCAAGCTAAACATGATTCGTAAAAGGAATATGTCTGCCATATTTGATCAGACTCTTGTTATGACTGAGGTCCTCTATATAAAGCAGCTGACTTAGTCTCTGTTTTCAGTGTAATAAGTCATCACCAGTTTTAAAGGACATATGCTATACAGCACTTGGTAGCCACAAAAAAATAACTATATATTCTTCTAATGCAGAAAAGTAAGATATCAAAGAAACTTGCCATAGTTGCACAGGTCAGTGCAGTATACAAACATAAGTCCAATTTAAGTTAATGCAAGATAACCAGCAGGAACACAGGTCTCCATTCCATGTCGATACCCACGACAATAAAGCAGTCGGGTGTATAAATGAATGCGAAGAGTGTAAAGGTATTTTGGTGCTGATATCATAGTAATATCAAAAAAGGCATATGACTATTTAGGAGTTGTGTTCAGCTTTAAAAACTTGTTTGAGGGATGGTAGGGGCAAGGTGATTCAGGTGAACATCAGTTTTGTCTAGTGGCTTTTTATTTCTTAAAATATCATCAAGTTAAAGACTTAGAACATGACCTTGCAATAAGACCATAGACTGTGATCTGATGAAAGGAAATTTAAAAGAAATCTTTGCAGGAGGAACCATAACCTGACTCATGAACCATCATCAATCCACATGTAATAGAATTTTGTAATGTTCAATATTGATACTTTGGTTAATTAAAAAAGCCCACACAAAAGCCTCTTGTTTCAGCTATTTTACAATTAGCAATTTTTGAAAATCCAGTTAAGGATAAGTCCACAGGAACTTGTTCTGATTTTTCATGCAACAAAAACCATCTTCCTTGAGGAAAAACTTGAATAGAGCTGTGGCTTCATTATTTCCACATACACAATCAGAGTGAAACATTTAATTTCAATGGTCATTTTTGAAAATCTTGATTAATGAGTTAAAACAACTCTTAGGACATAAGTTTTGTTATTAAAATGTTTTATTTAAGAAAGCTCAAACTTAAGTTATTGTCTAGTGAATGTCTTGTGATGAATATTTTTTTTTTACTTTAAACTCAGGAATCTCCTTTAATTAGATATAAAATTTCACTGCAAAAGCCTACAGACCTATAAAGATATTTTCTGGAAATGAAAGTGTTAAAACAATATGAGCTGCATTTTTGAGAATTTTATTTTGTTGGCAAATTTGTTTTTATGATTAATTTGTATGTAATCTAAACTCTTATGATGAATTAAACCAAAGTAAAGTTTAAAAATGTTTCAGAAGAAATATTCCTGTACAACTGAATATGCAGTATTATATAAGAAATCATTATTGTACAGGACGACAATAATTCAATTTTGCTTCAATCAAAGCTTATTTAAAGTTCTTTCATAGCAAATATGAACAACAGAAGTTTATAAATATTCTACTTTTCTGTCATTGAAAAAGTTAATTACAAATTTGCAACATTTTTTGCCAATGTCAAACATGCAGCTCATATTGCTTTAAACTTTTGTCCCCAAAAGTAATATATCTAACATCCATTGAAATTATTCATCTGTGAAATAGCACTTGCAAAGAAAACAAAAATTTACCATTTCCTCATCCTAAGCCAAATTTTTCTATATGATTGGGTCTTTCCTACAGATTTCTTAAATAACATCTTCAAATAATGCAAGTAAATTTATACACTATAGAAAAATGTGAAGAAAGGATACAGAATACCTCTATGGGGCACACCATCCTTAAGTTTCCTACAATTAACTCAAGTCCTGTTATTCAAGGGTCATATTGAAGAAAAGCAATTGCATGCCTGATTAGGTGGGAAATGTGTTCAATAACACAGTTGGTATTCCAAATTATTATCTCTTGTGTTCAGTCCCCACAGACACCTCATTTTTAGCTCACCTGAGCCGAAGGCTCAAGTGAGCTTTTCTGATCAAAATTTGTCCGTTGTCTGTCGTCGTCGTTGGCGTCGTCGTAAACTTTTCACATTTTCATCTTCTTCTCAAGAACCACTGGGCCAATTTCAATCAAACTTGGCACAAAGTATCCTTAGGTGAAGGGGATTCAAGTTTGTTCAAATGAAGGGCCACGCCCCCGGGCCAAAAAAGATGAAACTCATGTGGAAGCATCCTCAGGTAGTGTAGATTCAAGTTTGTTCAAATCATGACCCCTGGAGATAGGGTGGGGCCACAATGGCGGATCAAAGCTTTACAGAGGAGTATATAGGGAAAATCTTTAAAAACCTTCTTCTCAAGAACCACAGGGCCAGGAAAATGAAACTCACGTGAAATCATCCTCAGGTAGTGTAGATTCAAATTTATTCAAATCATGACCCCTGGGGGTAGGGTGGGGCCACAATGGCCGATCGAAGTTTTACATAGGAGTATATAGGAAAAATCTTTAAAAATCTTCCTCTCAAGAACCACTGGGCCAGGAAAAATGAAACTCATGTGAAATCATCCTCAGGTAGTGTAGATTCAAGTTTTTTTTTCAAATCATGACCCCCGGGGAGTAGGGTGGGGCTAAAATGGCTGATCAAAGTTTTACATAGGACTAGATAGGGAAATCTTTTAAAATTGTCTTCTCAAGTACTTCAAAGTCATGATTAGTGATATTTATGTGGAAACATCCTCAGGTAGAGTAGATTCTAGTTTGATCAAATCATAACCCCCAGGGATAGGTTGGGACCACAATGGGGGATCCTTTTACATTAAAATATATTTACAGAAATCGTCTTCTTAAGAATAGCAATGCCATGATTAGTGATACTAGTATCTATATGCAAGCATTTTTGGGTAGTGTAGAATTAAATTTGTTCAAATCATAATCCCCAAGGGTAGGGTGGGGCCACAATGGTGGATCAAAGTTTTACATAAAAAAAGGGAAAAATCCCAAGAACAGAAAAGCTATGCTTAGTCATACTGACATGTAAGCATCCTCATGTATCGAAGGTTTAAATTTATTCAAATCATGGCTCTTTTGGGTAAGGAGGAAAACAATGGGGAATCAAATTCAAATTATTATGAAGTTATATATAGGAAGAAAATGTTTTTAAAAAATCTTTGTATCAAGGACAGTAAAGTCATATGCTGTGTTAATATGAAGGCATTCTCAAGTAGTATTAAAATTCAAGCACCCTTCCCCCTTTCAGTAAACTTTTCAGTTCTGCTCTGATTTGTGCTTTTTCCAAGCCGATTTGCTCAGGTGAGTGATGTGGCCCCTGGGCCTCTTGTTTTTTTTACCACAGAAATGAATTGTCAAAGTTATTATCTATTACCGTATAAGTGGAAATTTTAGCGAGACGCAAATTTAGCGATTTGTCCTTAAAAAAATGATTTAATTTTTAGCAATGTGTAATTTTAGTGATTTTAAAAACCTCACTCAAGAAGCTTTTACAAATAAAGCGCAATTAATTTTTAGTGATATTCAATTTTAGCGATCTTGCACCCTCGCTAATAATGCCAAAATTAAACCCTCGCTAAAAATTTTGCTTATAAGGTAGTATTATCAATAAAAGCATTCTCTAAATATTAACTTCATCAAACAAATTTGCTTTTTATATGCATTTTCCGTGCTTTATCCACCCAGCCCTTTCTGCTCACTTACTTAACCTGGAAATTTTCATTCAAAGGGTTTACCCCCACCCCCACTCTTGCAATAAAGCTGACTGTTTTACATAAAACTTCATAATAAATCTACATAATAACAAAAAGAAACACACCAATGTTCTTTTTATAATTGTAATAGCAAACATATACAAGTAAGATTTCAGTCTCTCATAACTTTATAGTCTCTAAAGCACAAGTCTTTATTCATCTATATTCCAGTTGTGTTGGTCTTCAAAACACATCAATGGTAGTCTGTAATAAGAAAAGAGCGACATATTAAGATGTGTGGCTACATTGTTTTAAAATGTTGCTTTATTATAGCAGTAACTTCAAAAATGTCAATTTTAATTCACATCAGCATCATCATTAGTTGATCATGAGTAATTGTCTAGATTAGCACCTTTTTCAATATAATTCGTTTTACAAGTCATCCCCTCCCCTTTGCTTTTATTAAAAAGTTGAGACATTTTGTACTTATTAGCTAAAGGGTATTTACAAATGTCCTACCTTTATTGATTTTTCCTCTTCTTGGATCATTCATATACATCTTCTTTATCACATATATATTGTTTAAGCATAGCTGGTGTCATTAATTGTTCTCCATCATCATCAGGAATTTCCATGCCTGTAACCAGATTATTATTATTATTTTTTTTTTAATTCTATTACATGTATTTAATTTCCACCCTTTGATAACTTAAAAAAATATTTTTGTAAAATCAAGAAATATCTTCATGTAGTGTACCTAAAACT